ATATGCATACCAAAATGCGCAAGTGATAAAAAGAAGCGTGAAGCCAACTACCTTTGGCAAGCAGAACATTGGGATGAGATGACGTGGTTCAGTAAGATAATAGATGTACCCATCAAAAGGTCCACCAAAGTGGACTTGTTGAAAAATGAGTTATGGACTGCGCCTGTCACCACGGAAATCTATAAGTTGAAAATAATCCTTTTAGTAATGAAATGCGGTTACGGAAAGTTAATAATTGACTTTCTCTGGAGAACGTCGTTGACAATAATCGAGTGCAGTGATATGTCAAATAATGATCAAGATAACGCTCTAGATTGTTGGCAAAAACTTGAAGAGTGTCTCGAAAAAGGTAAGCTTACTATGTTCAAATTGTCGCGCATTTATGTACAGATTAAACAATTTAACAAAAGAAAGATTACCGACACCCATTCATTTTACCGTACTCTGTTGAAAATTCATTTGTATCTTAAACAAAAAAATCCCAGTGTGAAAAATGGTTCTGTAGCATCGAAGGCCAAAGAGTTTCACCAAAAAATCAAAGGTTATGCTACGTTCTTAGAGCTTCATTGGAGCGAAACCTGTAAACCAGCACACCATACCATCGATGAACGTGAGTTACTGCGTGAATATGGTATTCTACCGCTCGCTGGAGAGGAAATGGCCTACCAAATTTATGTAGCCAAATTGCATTCTTCCATGGATTTCATAATAGAACATACGGAAAAAATTGGTTTTCAATTCATAACTGACACGGAAAATGTTAAATTTTCTGTTCCTAACGAGAGTCCTTCCACTGAAGAGGAGTAACTTAAGTAAAACGGAAAAATATATATTTAAACAGTAACATTTTTTTACGTCATTTAAAAACCAGCTTAAAATGTTTTAATAAAATTAATTTTATATGTAATTTTATTGTGTTATAACCCTTAGGGTATATCACGTTTAAATTGTATTTTTAATAGGAAAAATCAAATTTAATTATTATTTTTTGATATGTTAGTTTTGACGTATTTAATAAATGCTAGAAAAAAATAGTGTTATATTAAAATAAAAATACGAAATTAAGCACATCGATGTAAAATTAATACCTTGACAGCTTTACGTTATTCTCAATTTAAAATGTTTTGAAATGTATGCGTTACCATATAAGTTGGTATAGATTAATTTAAGTTTAAGAGGAGTGTAAGAATATAAAATTTTTTTAAAAATCGATATCACATTATTTAAAAACACTATGAAAAAAAATGCGATTATTAATTAAATCCAATGAGATATTGAGTGGTTTATGATAAAATGATCAACCTATATAAACATTTACAAAGCGTATATGAGGTAGAAGTAGATACAGATATGTCAATAATGCTTTGATAATAATTATTATCGTACCGATTATTTTGAGTTAGAATAAAAATTTTGCTTCTTTTCTTTTAAGAAAAAAGATTCTAGAATATGTACGATTCAAATTTGGGAATAATTATTTTATAATTATTTAATTATTAAAATAATAATTTTTTTTTAGTTGCCATAAGGAAACATTGTTTCAGCCATGTTTGGCGAAAAAGAAAAACTGACAATAAATCAAAGTAAAATATTATGTAATAAGGATTTGTATTAAATTATATAAGATTTTTTAGTAGTAAGTATTATGATATCTAGACTGTTTACAGTATTTTAGTTAGAATAAACATTTAATAATATTTTCACAAAAATACTGTATTGATTTTACTTAAGGCTTGGTATTAGCGAGTTAATATGCTTCTAAATATTTACCTAATTAGTTAATTTTTACAATCAGATTACCAGTTAATTATTTCTTCTCAACATTTTTTGCCACACCCTTATATCATCTACATCCACTCCTGTGTGTGGTCATTTTTTAAGCCATACCGCACTATCCATCTGTCTCGGTTTGGGGCGTCATACCCTATATAAAAAAAAATTGCCCCCTTTTTCTTATTGAGTGTTCTGAGAAGTTTTAATACCTAGTATATACTAGGTATATATACTATTTACAAAAAAATATGTGGATATTTGTAAATTTATTAATCTGTACACCTGAAAAAAAATAACAATACAAACCAATAAGTTAGCGTATTAAATTTTATAGAAATTTAATAATTGCTAATAGTAATAATACTGTCAATATTGAAATATAACAAATTCATAATAGAATACCATTATAATAATAATATATACATTTAACTTTCTTCTAAACTTACTTCAGAGCCTTTATTTAATTAAAGTTTCCTTAGTGTTTGTTTTTAATATATCCTGTTAAAATTTTCGATTTCTGATCCATGGGCTGAATAAAGAGGTAAGGTTGATGGAAAAATCCTATTTATTTTCTCTGCTCCAAGGTAAAACATTTTATCATGGATATGTTATCTCATATCACTAAGCTCTTATCACCTCTATTTTGTCTCTTATCTCTAATCATTTATCCTGGCGCTATTTTTTTACAATTCTTAGAAAATCTATTTCAATTCTCATTCACAGCTCATCCAGACAATTTTTTGGGCTGTGTATATTACAGATAAATTTACAATGTTCTTGAAACACCGCGGTTTTTTCGCTTTTCCTATAAGTATTAATGGTAATAATAGTAATCTATGTGTTCCAATAGTGTTGGTACTATTATAATAGTTACCCTTTCTATTGATTCTTTTAAAACCACGAGCTGTATTTTCTTGACCGGAAGCGAATGACATTCGAATGAATCAATATCCGAGTTTTATTTTTGTGTGAACCAAGTTTCCATAGCTTTTTCACTATCTTCATTTTAATTTTTATGCGTTTTTCATAACGTTTCTTATTTTTTTACTCTGACGCATAAGAAATTATTGTACCATGGCCTTTTTTAATGTATGCAACGGTTGCTTTTCCACTATTATAAATCGGACTAAAGATTTATTTGCTTCATCCACCTCTGTCAAGTTTAAAAAGTATTTTTATTTCAGAAATCAATTTCACAAAGACGGGAACTGTGATAATGACCACAAACATAAAACAATTTTTTTTTTTGTGTCTGTTTTAAGTATAATAGAAAACAATTTTTTCTATCTAGTAGGTTTCCAAATAATAATGTATTAGGTTTTATTTTGGACCTACTCTGAATTTATGTTGTGTAAAATGCACTAGTACATTATAATTAACGTTAAGTTTTAAACAGCACACAGTAACATTTGCGTCTTATTTACCTTAAATTCGTATCGACATGAAATAACAATATATAATACACATACAAAAATTTAATAATGGTCTACACACTGAGACTTTTTATACTATTCAATTTCGTTAATATACTGGTGATCCATCAAAATGTACGACACTCATTTTCTCAAAAAATATGAATATTTTTAAAAATTATTTTTTTCATACATTGTTAGTTGCATGCTTTACTGTATTTTTCAATACTTAGACAATTTTCACCTTCATCGCTTTTACGAAAAATAAGTATAGATTTAATTTTTTTAAATAGGAACATATGTTTTTAATTCCATAAATACGTAGTCAACAAATTTTAAAAATTATAAGGGTTTTAATTTTTAATTTTCATCAATGTCTTTATTCGCTATGACAATGTAAAAATTTTAAATTTTAAATCAATGTTCGTTAGGATTTAAAACAGTATCACAACAGCTTCCCATTGAAAGATAACTGTCTCTGTCATTCGATTTGAATAGGTAGATAAGGTCCGCTTGTCATAATCTGAAAACATTTCATTGTGTTTGATTATTATTGTTCTCACCAATCGGACAATGCCAACATAAGTATGAATTTTATGGGCTACTGGAATTTGGAAAAACCAAGACATATGATATTTATAAAGGGAATTGTAACATCATTGCAAATTCATAGCAAACGAACAGATTAATGAAGACTAAAAGTTCAAAACGTTAAAATTTTTTTTTAAATTATACAAATTAATGTAAAATAAAACATATGTTTCGATTTGACAAAACTAAATCCATAATTGTTCAACGTATATAGAATGAAGGTAAACTTTATCAACATATCATACAGAAAACAACTTATTTTTAAAATATTCATATTTTCTAAAAAAAACAAGTGTCTAAAATCAGATGAATCACCCAGTATAAAGTTCTTGTAGTTTTGTATAAAAAAGCACAATTTTTTTTGCATTTTTTTTAGTGTTTAATTTTTTTCATTTTCTTGTCGAGTTTATAAAATATGATTTATAGCCTACACAAATTACTTCTTATTTACTAATTCAATACACAACCACATAAACAATTTTACAAAATATATGGAATTTACCATAAAATAATGCGTTGAGAAATAATTTGAAATCAATATGCTTTTCAATAAAAATTATGTAGGATTAATTTTTGTGCCATGAATTGTTCTTATACAAATTTAAGCCAAACCAATACCAATGTGGTTAGCCAGCTAATGTTGTGTACAAAAAATGTAACTGTTTATTTTAATTGGCATCGATCAACATTTTGTGCACAATGGAAACATCATAAATTAAAATTTTGTTTAATTACTAATTTGGTGAGAACTACATAAGAAGACTTATATAATAATAATAATATTTATTAAAAATAAATTTATATAGTTTTTAAGTTTAAAATATACAACATACTTAATAACCTATAACTTATATAGAATAATATTTTGTGATATTAGCAAAAAAAATATTTTAAATAAATATTTTTATATATTATAAATACTTTTAAGGTTACTTATAGGTAAAGTTAGTTTTTAATCGATAAAAGTGCTTTAAAATTAACTAGGTAAATATTTAGGTTAGAGTCTTCTGTTAAATGGATCATCCTATATTAGTATGTAAAATCTATTCATAATATTTTTATGAACACAGACAAATGCCTTTAAAACCTTAACACTAAAATACTTAAAACACTATTATAATTTATATTTTTTAACTTTATTTAAACTAGCATAACGTCTGTTAACGTCTAATAATTTAATGATTATACGCTAAATCAAATAAGTATAGGTATAGTTATAATTAATCTAAGTAGGTCGGTAGTTGCGGCGGCGGTGGAATTCTGTCATACAGAATTAATTCGATTCACTGATGTTATAACTGATTCGTGAGAGCATTACGCTAATTGGACAGGTTTCCTTCGAATGGTAACTAATTCCAGTTGAGACGTAGCCGTTTAGCTGGTGGCCCAGTACACTCCTGATTATTTTGTTCGGCTGAACGTCTTTGGTGTTGCCAAAAGCCATTGATGTGGATTAGTTCAGCTAACGAAACTTCATCAACACGACCTCCGTTTCGTAAATGACCGTTTTTCCTCATCATTTCTAATCGTTCACTAAACAAAATTATCATACAAGTTATTAAAACTGTTCAATAATATTTATACTTTAATTTAACTATACTTACGTGTTACCACGGTGCAATTCACTCTTTAGGTATTTGTACAACAAAGTGAAACACATTTGATCAGTACATTCGGGAAATACCTTCTGGGCTAAATTTTGAATGGTCACGATGAAGTCGGAATATATATCTATGGTAAAATAACAAAACCGGTTATCATATTTAGATTGATGTGTGAACATGTTCAACATACCAAAGATGTATGATTGGGCATCGACGCAGCGGATTATTTTTTCTCGAAGAAAACAACAAGCACTTCTTCTATATTGATTCACTCTAAACTATAAAAAGCACATTTATAATATATTTACAACAATAACGATTGAAAACTGTGAATTTTCTTAAGCGACTACCAGTTATTTGCTAAAAACAAACAACAAACATGGTTTTACTCGAATACCAAAAAAAAACCAAGTGTATCACTACAATGATTTGGTTGTACGTACTTGATCTATTTCTTGAGTCCAACATTGTCTCATAATTGTTTTCGTTGCCATTCCTCGACCTAATATTAGGCTGGACTGTGGTGACGTTATATTAAGTGTACCGATTGGCTGACTTGAAGGTCTGGAAACTTCTGTAGACGTAATATGACCATAAAAACAATGAGTATCCATGTTTTGCTTTAATCCAGTGTTGTTTTTCTATAAATATACAATAATTTATTACTATGTAGAGAAATATTGTTGTTAAATAATTGTATAATACTTAATTAAATTTAATAATTAAATCAGTACTTTTAGTTGCATCTCTCATAGACTAACAGATGCCGTTATACAAGACAATATTTAATAGATTTCCATGTACCATAAACAACAATGGGTAATATACATGTATAAATTTATACCGAAAAACACCAATTTTCCGTTGCATTTTAATATTTTGTCGGGAATTTTGACAGGTGTGAATTTTTGGCTATGGTGAACGTGTTGAGCAGACTCTAAACTTTAAGTTTCCTCTTAAACTATGAAAAAGGAAAATATATCTGCCTTAATTAGTGCACGAGTATATTATAAATATTAAAAAAAAAATTTTTTAATCTCTTTTTGTTGTATTTAAAAAAATGTGGAGGGGCGTCAAGGTTTAATTTTAAAAATCGAATTTTTAAGGTCACCCTAATGTACATACATAAATGTGGTCTTTATATTGCAAATTTTAGAAATATTCACACTTGCAGTGTGAATCTCAGTCGAATTATTAAAAAATAAATGTTATGTATATGTAATTTTTTTCAAAACTAAAGCATAAAAATTTCGGTGACTTATTTTTGATGTAATTGGATTTTGGATGAATTTTTGAAATTCGCAAAATAAGGATCACCCTAATTTATTTTTAAATATATAATATATATATATATATATATATATATTTATTATATAGTTTTAATTTACTTCGTCCATCTCTCTATTAGTCAACAGCTTGAGATATCTCCGAGTACAAGAAATGGTTGAATCGGGAACTCTCACATATGGCCAGCAGTCTTCGAATTTCGTTCCAAGAGGGAAATATATTTTAAGATCATCCAAGCTGCATGCTATACAAGGATTAAAAATAACTCCTGTATGGCTTTGCAACATGCAGCAATACTTTAAGTATGCCAAACTCCAATTTTCCAGCACTATAGAATGTTCTCTTACAAAATCCATAGCTTCGCCTTCGAAGTAGGATATAGGAAGGTATTTTTTGTTGTCCTTAATGCAATATGCCAACAGACCAGACTGATCAATTCGTATGTAGCCGCATTTTGGTTGGATTCCGGGTGCTACATTATTCACCCAGCCGAAGTGAATATCTTTAACAAACTGATAAAACTCTTTGATATCTTGTAGTCCGACGATCATATCTATGCCGGCGATAAATTGTTCATTGCCATACGATTGATCGCAGTGTGTCTGGTTGATGTAGTTAAGCAGTTTTGCCTCGTTGTCTGTTATGTCGAAACACTCGACTAAATCTAAATCGTATACCACGCTCAAATAAGTATCGCTAGTATAACTTTCGAATAGCTGTTTCACGGCCATTCGTACGCTAACAAACGGCATGTGCTCGTTGTCAACGAAGCGCAGGATGAATGGAACGTAATGCTTTTTCCCTATTTTTTTCCATCCAAACGAACCTATGTACGAAAACAATTAATAACAGTTACTTGTAGCTAATAGTTATCGGTAACAAAACCGCTCACCTTCGATTCCCTGTTCGTATTCACTTTCACTCGGTGTATCTGCAATGGAAATAAATTGACCAGCTCGATTTAAATAAACATTATCATTAATGGCTTCCAATCGTTTTGCAGCTTTTCGAAAGATTTTTTTAATTTCCAAGTTCTTAAAATTCATATCAGGGTCATCACATTCACTTTTAACTTGGATCTCTGCAAAAATAAAAACAAGTTGAAATAATACATTAAAGATATTACAAACTAAAATATGCCAAGTTTAAAACATTTAAATTTTATTCGTTAATTCGAATTTGTATTCGATATGTTAAATTACATTATATAATGAAATTGTATTTTTTTTAACCCCCATTTAGTCGAGTAAGGTACAATAACATAAATTGGCCAATAACAAAACGAGCGGAACCTAAAAAAAAGGGGGTTTTCAATTCAGTACTTTGTGCTAAGATTTTCTTTAATGATCTATTGAACAATAATAACACGGACATGTTTAATCGCTAGGAGTAAATTTATTAACTTGGGTACAAGGGTACTATAAGTAAAGTGTGCTACAAGACATACGTATAAATTGTCAAAATTATAACCGAGAGCCATTCATGATTCAATTTTTTTTCGTGAAGCGATGAAATTAGCTAGGGTTTATATTTTTCTATTGCGGACTATGACATTACTCAAGTGGAGCGAGGATCAAATAAACTGTTTGTTGTGTTTATATGGCCATTCCACCAAAATTGTCGACATATTTATTATCAACCTATTTTATTAAACTCAATTTTAATAAACATCATGCTATAGCGTTAGAATAAACAGATTCTGTATGAGATGAAGTAATAAACAACGTTAAAGCTGATTCAACAAAATAATATACATATTTTATAATGATGTAGAGTTCAATATTTTACTACTTCGATTATTTCAATTTTATATTTATCATTTTTACAAACGTGCTAGTTATATCTCCTGATTAAGTTATAGTAATTTAGTGTAGAAATTTATAATTAAATTGCAATCATTACATATTATTATATTTTAACACCTAAAACCTTCAAAATTAGATGGGTCGCTCGTCCTATCAGACCTCGACAAAGCCAATCTTTTGGGGAACACATCTTGAATATTTTTATATCTTACCTTAACATTATTCCGAATACCATACGTTTAGACAAATTAAAAAGCTTGCTTGACGCTCCATTACCTATCTTCCTACTAAACATGTTTCCCCAAATGAAATTGCAAATGTGATTCAAAGAAAGATTGTAAAACATCTTCTTAAAAAGCAACTGTCCTCTTAACTTTTATGTTTAACTCTATTTTGAGAATGTCTTACTTCCCTGCCGTCTGGAAATTATCCATAATCATTCTCATACTCAAACCAGGTAAACTCTCCAATTTAGCAGCCTCATATAGACCCTTTATTCTACTCTCAGTGCTCGGAACATTATATGAAAAAATCGTCCTGTAAAGATTTAAACCAATTATGGAAAGACAACATGTAATACCCATTGCACAATTTGGATTTCGTGCAAAATATTTCACCATACAACAAGTGCACAGTCTAGTTGATGTAATTTCTTCTTCCTTTGAGAACAAAAATTACTGTCCGGGTGTCTTTTTGGATGTGACTCAAGTCTTGACAGAAATTTTTACGCTGGTTTGCTGTATAAAATTTAATTGTTCCTCCCTGCTCCTCTTTATTTATTAATTCGATCATACCTTTAAAGTTCGTCATGATAATGCCTTTTCCTCCCTCTTTCCAATATCATCAGGAGTTCCTCAAGGAAGTGATATCTCTCCCAACCTCTACAACATTTTCACTTCAGACATTCCTCAGACCCAAAACACTATTTTTACGCCGATGACACTGCTATCCTGTCCTCTAGTAGTGACCCCATTGAAGCATTTAATGCTCTTCAACAACACTTCGACCAAATTGGAAATCTGTACATGGATCTTCTACTCTCAACAAACAAATACGTCTTATCTCTTCTTTCAAGAAGTTAATATCCTCTCCTTGTATCAAGTCTTAACTAGATATTATTTTAGATAAAAGACTAACCTGGGGCCTCCACCTAAAATCAAAAAGAAGGCACTCACTCGCACTTACTACGTCCTGTACTAAAATTCAAACTTCCGCTTCATAACACAATTCTTATTTTAAGTCAATGTTAAGACCAATCGGTCAATTGGTCATACGGAGCTCAAATATGGGATTGTGCTGAACCGTCTCATCTAAAAAGAATAGAAGCTTTCCAATCAATTTTTCTCCGTATAATCACGTCCACTCATAGTATGTTTCCAAACTCACCCTTCACAATGACTTACACATCAAATCAGTTAAACATTAAGTTAAGACTCACTATAAAAAGTTCCACCCAAGAATACTTCTCCACTCAAATCCATTAATCATAGAACCAGCACACAACCACTATTCCGGACCAACCCTCTTGCCGTCTTAAAGGACGTCGGTGTCGTAATCTTCTAAATTGCAACAATGCCACTGTTTGATTTCTAGCCGAAACCTGTCTTATCACTAGATAGCTTCTAAGGATGGTTCTGGATTGTCTACAAGTCATTATTTACATTGTTAACCTATTTGCTTATTGTATAATTTACTTTATTTACAGATTCTAAATGTTCTTTAAAAAAAACAACCTGACGATGAGCTGTATGAGCATCGATCTGCTTTTATTTAGGTACCACTATTTAAAAATGAAATGTCATCGACGGAATAACAACATCAACCTTAGTCACTAATAAGAATGGGAAGATATTGCTAGAAACATGACGGCGCTTAAGATGAGAGCAATGTTAATTATATTACACGTCTTAAACTCAATTTTTACTTTAGATTAGTAGTTCGAATAAACTAATGGTTAGTTATCCTGTAACGTAAGGTTTCAAAATGCCTATATTTGGTTAACATGTCGCGTAACGCATTTTAAACCCCTTTTTTAAAACTAAAGACATGCGGAATCAAACCAATTATACGTATTTTTCATCAGATTTTAGTCATAACATAGTTTTAGGTTGTAAATATAGTATCTCGCTTATAAACCACAATGTAATTAAAATTTAAAGACACAATTACAGGGGCAGATTGGTGCAAAATATAGGCTCAGGCAATTATACAATCAGGCCTCCTCGGTTGGAATACTTGAAAATAATAAATCGCATAATCTCCCTATTCTGCCTATTCTGCCAATGCACAAATAACAACTGACCTAATCAACTGTTTTCGTTCCACTCGAATTGAAATGCTTTCTTCCGACCATTGGGTTCGGTTGTTCAGACAATTGAAATACAAGTAAATAAACCAACAACAATAATATATTTTTATAGTATAATAACTATTACCTTTAACC